CATCTGTTATTTCAATGATCGTAACCTGCTAAGCGTAAACACTTCATGTATAACACATCTTTAAAAAAAAAAAAAAAAAAATTATAAACCATTAAAACATCTAATTGTGATGAAGCAAATACACGAACAAGGTGCTTTCAACAAACACTAAAATGACTATCAATTGATCAACTGGTTAAATGATTTTTTATTTAGGTGATCATGTAAACGAAGATTTAAAAAAATATATGGTTTGCATCGTTGAAATACAATGCAGAGTGGGCCTAAAAGAGTGTCCCTCAAATAAGGTTTGAGGGATACTCAATTGAAACTCCCTCTATCACTATATACCCTTTTCTGCTTTGTATATATTTAGCTTCTGTGTTCTGCACTAAGTTAACACAGTTTTCAAATTACAATTTTGGGTTTTCGTTGGCAGATGTATAAGTAAACAGAAAATAAAAAATCATATATATAAACACAAACAAAAACAGAACTCACTCATGTTAAGATCATACAAACTGTCAAGAAACAAACTTTAACGCAAGTCTAAGCCCTAAGGGAGGGAATTCCAGGAATTCGAAATTAATTAACGACGAAGACGAAGAAAATTGTAGGAGCGTACCTTGTGCCATTGAAAACCCTAACTTGAGAAGCTGTGATGAACAGGAGGAAGACAAAGATGAAACCTTTGGAAGGCAGACACTGAAGAAACGAATAAGTCTTGGCGTTTAATGCTTATCAAGGTTTGAAAAGCGGACAAGGTAAATACAAAATTATTTGATTGTATTTTCGGACAACAAAAAAGAAGAAGCAGTTATTGTATTTAAACTTAAAAAATTACTGAAAGGAACCAAAGAAAAACAAAGTCGAGTTAACTTGACAAGTGTCAAAATTCCGTTTGTTTTAAGGAGGAGCTCATCTTCAATTTTAAGGAGTTAAGAAGATATTACATACGCTTAACACTTAGGCTTCATTTTGTGCCGCCTTTCAATTCTGTAAAAATTTGGAGTTTGTGCTAAAATAGCTATTTTCACAGCTTTTATTCTATAATAACCCCTTCATCCCCGTGTAGTGTCTCTTTATTGTCCATATAATTCCCTCTTTGTTATCCTTATAACATATTTTTGTATTTGAACAAATGCACACACCCTAAAATAGTTTCATGGCATATGTGCAAATTTCCCAAAGAGTAAAGAACTAGTTCTGCCCTTGTGTTGGGGCAAATTTTGACTCTTACCAATCTAACTAAAATAACGCATAGGAAGATACCAAGTTCCATTTTCCCCTCACCTATATCGCTTGTATGCCAAAAAAACAAAACGAAACAAAGAAATAAACGCAGCGTGAAAGTCATCCAAATCCAAAACTACTTTTCTTGCAGGGTCAGGCCCAAATTGCAAGCCCACGTTACTTACAAACCCTCTCCTTCATTGAATAACAAACACACACAACACAACAACAACAACAGAAGAACGAAACCCTTCTCTTTCGTTCCCTGCTGGGGTTTTAGGTCTATATTCCATAACCAAACAGAGATGGGGAAGAACGAAAGCAAAGATGGTGGCAAAACGAGAGGCGAAAGCGAGCACTGTGCCTCCACTGTCTTCGCCTCTAACTTGCCCTACTCTTTCATCAACTCTCAGGTACTTTCTCTTTCTCACACCCCATTTTGCTCCTGTCTTTCGTTTCTTTACTGAAATAGAATAGTTGAATAGTTGCATTACAATCTGTTTATATGATTGCTGTTCTATTTATTCTTTAAGTTGAAATTTTCTGTGCTGCTTTAGCTTTAGTAATGAAGGCTTTGTTTTTCTTTTAAACCTCAGCTGGAGGAGACATTCAGCGACGTTGGACCAATTAGGCGGATCAAACTACAAAGGTAGCTTTAGGATCATAAAAGGCTTCAAACTACTTAGAGATGTTATGAGGAAAGTGAAAGCTTCTAATTGACAAGTTCTTTACCTTGATCTCAATACTTTTAATCTAGACTATTTGACAAACTGTATTATCTTTTGTATTTTGAATAATTGTATTGAATTATATTATTGTAATGGCTATACAATTTCAGTTGGTTTTATATATTTATTTTAGACTTGTAGTTAGTGACTCTTAGAATAGAAATGTAGAACCCCAACATAACTTGTTGGTTTTTGTAGGGATGAGACATGATAGCAGGTCAAGGTCTAATGGTTTTATAGGGCTGTGGGCAAAATATAAAACAAATTTGGCATCAGTTTGTAAGATGGAGGTGTTGTTGTCAACATTAGGTAGAAACTGTAGAGCTTTCATTTGAAAGCTTGGAAGCAAAATACTGAATTTTTGTTGTTGTTTAGAGAAATGAGAGAAGCAGAGTAGCTGAAGATCCTAATCTTGTATTTTTTATTGTTTAGAGAAATAAGGGTTTAAATAAGCAAGAGAGAGGTACGTGAAGCCAAACATATGTCAGAATAGTTCCCAAGATCGCACTCTCCTGTTGATTTTAAGAAAATTAAAGTAATTGGTCAAAATTTGAAAGCTTTTAATTTAATTGTGAACTAGTTTGACAATGTTCTTTACCTTCATTTGAACATAGACAATAAGCTGTTTTGGGAGCATTCAAAACACAAGTGAAATCCACTATAAAAGCTGGCTACCACATACCAATGCTGGCCACCCTTGCCATGTAGTTAGGTGTCTAAGTGTTTGAAAAGAACATTTTGAATATTTCACCGTATTTTTCTTGGGCCAGATCAGTGAGTGCATGAGTCTGGTTTAGAATGTAAAGACATATTCCTGAGTTCAGTTCTATTGATTTTTAATGCTTCATATATATTGTTGGTATATATTATACAGTATATGAGGTCTTATAACGTTGAATTATTACCGTTTTCAGGGAACTCAGGCAAATTTTTTCGTGGCTATCAAACAGGCCACAATAGACCTTGAATCCAAACCGGACCTCAAAAGAACCTCACGCATTTTTCTAAGAAGTGACTGCAGTCGAGCCTGATTCCCACCTTAGCTTGTTGAAATTTTTGAGATCAAAGTTCATCTTGAATTTGGCTGTGATTGTTGACTATAATGGCTGATGGATTGAACCGTTACTTTCATTGCATGTGTCATGCAGGAGTGTTTGCAAGCAATTGTCAGCCAAAGGGCTCGAAAAAAACAATGGTTTGTGTTCCTCAAGAAGTACTCCACTGTGAGTTCTCCTGTTCGAGGAACTAACAAGGTGGAAGGTCTGTAGGTGGAGGCAAGACAGAGTGATCTGAGTCCTTCCCATTTTCCACTACGAATGCAGTCTTCAAACCCTAGCTGGTATGGAGCTCCAAATGACAGTGCATGAACCAGACACCTAAAGATGATCAAATACCATTCAAAATATTAGTGAAATATCTAAAAAAAAGAAGAGAGATTATTCTGGCTTAATTAGTAACTTTGAAGTTTAATGTAGCATGCTATTTGGTGAGTTTGATGTGTTTACTTGGATTATCAGCCCTAAACCTTATGGCAACCCAACCACTGGTAGGAACTCCGATTGTGTTTCTTTCGGGAGGATCCACCAAAGTTATACTTTGCCGGGTCCTTTTTGGGGTCGAAGTTCCCAACTCCAGTCCCAACAACAAAGAAATTGTAACCATGAAGGTCGAAAGGATGGGACTCCAACTCAACTGTTGAATTGAAGGCAAGTTTGCTAAGCCGGGTGCCTAGTTTAGTGCCAAGGTTGGCAGTGATTGGTGCACCAGTGTAATTGAAAGGTGTTAGGGGGCGGTCTGGGAAATCTGTGGTAATTACTCCCTTGGTGTTGAAATAATGAGCTTGAAGCAGCCCAATTTGGGGCATCACAAATGTGATATTGTTTAAAGAAGCAGTGAGCTGTGTTCCATTGAGGCAAGTCGTGCATTGGTTGATTCCCAACCTGATCGTGTAAAAGAGACGCTGATCAAATTTAAGAGGTACGCTGGCCGGGAACCGTGCTGTGTTTAAACTTCTTAGCTTGGCATTGAAGCTCAATGCAAAAACTGTGTTATTGATTGCCGGAAGTTGGAGAAGAACTGGCTGCACAGTATTTGGGATGCCTTTGTACTGCAGTATTCTAGTGGCAGTTTTGTTGTCAATGGAAACCGGTGCGTCCATGAATGGCCTAGCTGCCATGAAATATCTGTCGGGCGCTTGTTTGGCTTGAACAAGAATATTCGTGGTCTGACCTGGCACTATTAGTATTGCTTGAGATGTGAATGGTTTGGTGTAGACTGCATCAGTTTCTACCACTGTCAAGTTGTGACCAGCAATGGCAAAGAATAGCTCATCATGGAGTGCAGCATTGATGATTCGTAGCAGGTACGTCTTTCCCTGTTCAACCTCCAATGCATAGGTATCTGAGATAGCAAAAACAAGAAAGGATGACAATGCAAAGTCTCATTTTTCATGTCCAAATGGGATTGCCATAAAACAAAAGTGGTCTCAGAACATCTAGTGTCATAGATGGGAAAGGTTCTTGCATACAGTGAGTTTATACATCGTTGCTCTCACAATAACTAGTTACACGTCCACCATGTGCATTGTATAAACTTATTGTAGGCAACAACTTTTCTACAGAATGCTGTGCGTTTTTCAGAACAGGGAAAGAGAGGCCCTGGCTTCCCATCATTGATGGGGTGTGCATCTGACATATTTGATGGCAATCCCAGTTTGTTTCCTTGTTTAACAACCTCTTCGACGTTGTTATTCCACCATTCTCCTACACCATTCACAAGAGACAGTACAATAATTTTCTGCATAAACTCTAAAAAATTTCTGTATATAGTTACAAATCTTATAGTTGCACTAACTCACCTAAGACAATATTAGCCTCCTTGTATGGCTGAGGAAATGGAAAACCAGTCTCTTGTTTAGGCAAGATGACAATTGCTCCATACACAGTGGCTCTTAGCCAGAAAATATGTGCATGCCACCATAGAGTTCCTCTTTGCCCTGTTATAGTAAATATTGTAGGTGTAACTATGCCCTGTCTTAACATTGAAGAGTTCCTAACAAAGTGAAGCTTTTTTCCATGGATAGCATTGCAAAATGCATTACCTTGTTGTTGGGCCTGGCCCAAAAGCTAATGCCTTAAATTGCAGCCACAGTGATAATGGGTCGAAATCAAGTGAAAATAAATGGTGGTGGACTCTCATTTGATTTCTGTGGTTGCTATTGACCTAATCGAAAAAAAACAAAAACAAAAAGGGGCGATGTTGAATTGTTGATCTAAATCGAGATGCAACACTTAATTAAATTATTAATGGAATCCTGCAGAAAACTTTAAGCAAGACAAAAAGAAATTAATGTTTTTGCTTGGAGGTTTTTCAGAAGACAATGTTCTTGACCCAAACTATCCTCCACCATAATTTTGCAGAATGGGACAAAATTTGGGCACATTGTCAATTTGTCACCTTATTTTGTTAAAAATAAATAAATAAACACAAACAAGAAAAATGACTATTTATGAGAATGGCATGAATACGAACCTACCGTACAGTACAGAGCCGGGTGTTATGGGACCAATTAATATTACTGGTGGCAATTGACATCACAAACAAACTATCTTTTGGTTGCTCTTTAAATGTTGGCAGGTCGCAAATAATGCAATCAATGGCTCAAGAAAATGTTGGTCTGCTACCACTAGTACTAGAGACTTCAATAATATTAAGTTTAGCTCTTAGTAGGTGCTAATTTTTTGTCGTTGACTTAAATGTGTTTCTATTGAGTTAAGAGTTCTCATGGATGTTATGTGTCTAATGTGATTAGGTAGCGTAATAAGAATATTAGAGAGCTCCGATTGAGGAGTTATTTGAGGGGCAGTTTTGTAGGGTCCACTTCACATTGTATTTCAAAGATCTAAGCCCGCTATCTTTTAGGTATTTCTTAAAAATCATATATGCAAAAAATTACTTGAATTCGAAACCATTTAATTATTCAATTAAGTGGTTGTTATTTTAGTGTTTTGTCGAAGTATTGTGTTTGTCTATTTTGTTGGTCACAATTAGATGTCTTAATAGTTTTCAATTTGTATAATTGTCTGCAAGGATAATTTATGAATGAGAAGACTTGAAAAAAAGGATGTTTCAGATCGTTGAAATAAGATTTGTACTTGATCACACAAAGTGTCCCCCAAATGAGAGTATTTGAAGAATTCTTCAATAGAAGAAGACTGTATATAAACACATAAATGATATAAATTATCGAACTAATAAATGCAACAAATAAAATAAGGAAGAAACCTCTACCATGTAACCCTAATATTTGACAACAAAGTTAAATTGTGAAGTATCGAATAATGCAAAGATTTTGTTTGTTGTTAATGAGCTTGAAAACCCTAATCATTCCCTCACAAAGGAACAAGACCCGTGTTGTTCACGAGAGCCATGGGAGTTTTCAGTTTTCATGTGTTCATCTACAAAGCATCGGAGTCGAGACAAACCTTTTTCATTAATTTATTGAATCTAGCAATACAATATATATATATTTTTTTTTCCATTACAAGAAAAAGTAAAGGACATATGATTCGAACTTTGCGCTTAGGTGTGGAATAAATAGCCTCAACAATTCGAGCTACAAGTCCTCCACGCTTATGGAAAAATTTCTTGGAATAGAGTGAAAAGATTGTATTTTATTCTTTTTTTTATTTTTATTTTTATTTTTATTTTGGAGAAATCAAAACCATATATATTGAATTTTACATAACAAACCTCTCTTTATTCTCTGTAAAATGTCACACGAAATTTTTGTGACTCAAAACCAATGACAGTATAATTCAAATTCCAAAGACTAAGTAACAAGCCTCTTCTCTCTTTGCTCTCAAGATGAGAGACACCTTTTGTTCTTT